ACTCAAAATCCTCTAGTGGGTATGTTTTTACTATTGGTGGTATGGCCGTATCTTTGAAATCCTCTAAACAAACATGTATAGCTCGATCATCGATGGAATCTGAGTTCATAGCTTTAGATAAAGTTAGAGATGGAGTAGAATGGCTTCAAAATTTTTTAGAGGATATTCCATATTGGCATAAACATGTGCCTGCAATTAGTATACATTATGATAGTCGTCAACTATCGGTAGAGCGCAAAGTAGTATATATAATGGTAAATCTCGCGTCGAAAACATAATACAATTAAGCAGTTGATCTCAAATGGTGTTATTTCCATAGATTATGTAAAGTCTAGAGAAAATCTCATGGATCCGCTTACCAAATGCTTACCAAGAGATCAAGTATACTGTCTATCAAGGGGAATGGGCTTAAAGCCTAAAACACAAGAATCTTTGTAATGATAACCCAACATTTGTGATTGGAGATCTCAAAATCTTGATTCAATTGGACAACTAAGTTATGAAAATTCAAAGAAACACTTCGGAGTTAACTCCACCCATTCCTACGATAAAAAAGTGCTAAATCTGCAAAAAGTTTTATGTTAAGTTATACTTTTAATAATTCCTATATCTTGGACTATCTAATTGGGGTATGACATGTACTTTTAATAAGAGATCACCTATATAAGTGTGAAGTGTAGCCGTTTTTATAAGAATTTTTCAAAGGCTTGAATTATCTAAAACACTTATGAAATCTAAGAGTTGTTTAGGGCCAAAATGAACTTAACAATGAGAACTCGAAAATGTTCGGGAGGTTATTGTGTTGTTACCACTGTCTTGGTTTACACCAACGGCTAACAGTTCAAGACACTACGTTCACTAATTAGTCAAGTAAATCCGAAAGTTGTCCAGGGCCAAAATGAACACAACAGTGAGTACTCGAAAATGTTAGGGAGGTTATTGTGTTGTTACCACTGTCTTGGTTTACACCAACGGCTAACAGTTCAAGACACTACGTTCACTAATTAGTCAAGTAAATCCGATAGTATTATACTACGGAATGTTCAAACCCATAAGGTACTTATCCGGATACAATAACATTCTGCCTGATCTCTCTATAAGGTATGTAAAGTCTATTGTATTAATTTCCAATTATATCACCATGAATTGATTTGGGCAGAATAACGTCGTGCACAATGAATGCCATTAAATGTTAATGGTCGAGGCAAGAGTTCTACTCTTTCTCCTTAAGACGATAATGCATCTCATTGGCACTGACAGTATTTCGATAATCGTCTCCCAAAATACAACGACCTCGACTTGTAATATAGCACTACAAATTACATGACCTGACGAACCTACTCACATTTTTTATATCTCTAAAAATCGATGGACTAAAATGCATGAAAATTATTTTTTGAGGATGGATTGTAAAATATGAATAATGCAGGGACGAGGGAATAATTTCGAAAGAAGAATAAAATAAAAATTGATTTTGGAGTGAATGAAAATCGGGATATGGGGGCCTATTTATAGAAGTTGAAAGGTTGTGTTCAAAAGACACAACAACCGAAAAGTTGTGTCTGCAACATACACAAACCGTTTGGATACGCAGTTTACCGTCAACCTTTTTTATAAAAGAATCTACGTGTCACGCACAGAAAAATCGGGGAAAAATAATATAAATTAAATATATTATTATCTTAAATAGTAATAAAATAATTTGAATCAAATATTATTTTATAATAAAAAATATATAAGTTCAAGTCCAAGCCCATGACCAGTGCTCGAGCTGGCCGGTCGAACGGATGAGACGGCGCACGCGTCTAAGCTTTGCCCAACCTACTAGCATGTAGGTTCTCTCCCCTTCAAAGAATATTGGTACTCCTTCGGACCCAAACCCAATCCCAAACTCGAGCAATATAAAGTGATTTATATTCTTCTAACTTTCTTATGTGACTTTGTCACCTTTTCAATTTACAACCAATTTTTATTCCAATTTATTTCAACCTCAAGTGATCATCTTTTGACCTTGATATCTCATTTACACTAAATTGGTTTTGAGAAAATAAATACATTAATTAATCTACTTATGGAGTAGAACAAACTCGGCCAGGAGATATTTTGTCCAACTAACGAAACATACTAAAATAATTGATCAAAAGTTGGTCAAACCAACTAATAAAAATCAATTTTTCCAACAACATCAACATAATCCTCTTTAAAAAATAGATTTCTTCTCACATGTGTAAAGCTTTCTTATCGGTGGTGTAAAGAAGCGGTGGTTCCAACAATTGAGAAATTTCTAAAAATGGGGAAAGAAACATGGGGATAAGGAGTAAAATGTTCTAAGACGGTAATACCTTGCCTTTCGAAAAAAAATAATAATAATAATTACACGTGTTCACTTAAAGGAGAAGTTGGATGAAAATTGATCAAAATAATATTTTGTACAATCAAATATGTAATTAAGGATAAAAATACTATAAAATGGAAGTATGAACATTTTACAATATAAAAATGAAAGGTATGAACGTTGTTTGTTAATTATCCAAAATTTTATGACAAAAGTTATCTCATCTAGCGTAGCTTGGCATTTAAGAATAGCAAAATGGACTTTTTTTTTCTTTTGAAAGCACAAAGACAATTTCACCATCTAAAATACAAAAGTTGTAAAAAATAAAGTGAAAAACTATTTAATTAATTTTTATCTAGTGTTTAAAAACATTTGATTAATACTTGAATTAAATTATTTTGGGATGCTTATCCAACCTTAAACAATTTGTACCCCATTTTTGAAATAGCAAAAATTGATGAAGAATGTGTGGTCAAAAAATAAGAAATTTTTTTGAATATGCGTGTAATATTTTTTTATTAAAAAATGTGTGGTTGAAAAGAAGAAAGAAAAAAATGTGTGGTTGAAAAAAAAAAAATGAGAATCAAACAAAGGCTAAGTAAGTTTTTTGTTATTAAAGGCTAAAAATAAATAAGTTACCTATTTCAAAATAATTGAAAATATACTTTTTAAAAACATTTTTTAACTCGAAAAAAGAAAGTAAATTATTCAGATATATTTATATGGAAAAACTTTACTTTCTTCATCATTAAGATGAAAAATACAAATCTCCTTCATCCATTTCTTGATTAAAACAAATTCAAAAACGTGTATCTGACCAGACCACAAAAAAGATTTGGTTTCCCAATTTTTGTACCTTTGACCATTTATTCTTATTTGAATATATCCTATTTTCAATTGATCAGTATCCACGTAGATGCGATTGAGTAGGAAAATAAACTACAGGTTCTTCATCTTCAAAGATAACCAGATAAGAAGACTATTTCCATGCAGCTTAAGATAAACATGAAAATTTATTTTTATTTTTGCAAACGTGTAAATGAGTTAGGTTACATCAGTTGGACAAGTATGATGAAATTTACAGCTAAATTTCACAATCTCAAGTCCTTCGAGAATTGAGATGATATTCGCAAATAGCCGAATTTGATAGAGTGCAAGAAAATTCTTGATCGTACTATTAAAAAGGAATAAAAAATGACGTGGTGAAAAACTCAAATACTAGAGAATTTTGTCACTTTGCCAAAAAAAAATTTACAGATGCAGTGACATGAACCGAAGAATAATTTGATAAAAAAAATTGAATGTGTTTAAAACAATTCAATGATGAAATGTCATGTGACATTATGCCAATGATTACGTCAATGCTAGGTATTTATAAATAGATTGTTCAAACTTTTTGAGATTCAACTGGAAAAATATTACAAGTTTGTGTGTGTGTGTTAAAAATTAGTATTTGATTATCAAAAATTTAAACCAAACTTCCGAACCAATCCACCAGTTGCCGAACAATAGTATAATTGGGATACAGAAGAAAATAGTTGAATCTTACGTGTGTGGGACCAACAAATTGATAGATGACAGCTCTAATCCTAGTCAGCAACGTGGGATCTACATCTTCAAATAATTTCATAATTGTGACGCTAATTCAAGAAACAAAATAGGTAAATTCCACTGAGTCCATAACCTTTCAAAAATATGCACTCATGTCCTAACCTATGATTTGTTGCATGTATGTCTTCGACCTTTTAAAAATGTAGCACACATGTCCTCAATTAGCATAAAAAACATTTATATAACGTTAAAGGGTTACACAACATTCATTTGATGTCGAGATGCAATAAAGCAAGAGATAAGTTTAATGAATACTGACGATTTTTATAATTACAATTTCGATTGTTTTGAAATAAATAATCTTGAATAAGAATATTTGTACACCCAAATGTGTACACTTTGGTTGACACTTTTTAAGTGTCAAAAATCTAACAATTGATTGATAAAAGTGTTTTTAAAATCAATGTGTCCAAATACGTCTCGGTAGTGTAAATCAAGGTGTAAACCAAAGTGTACATATAATATGGCTCAATAATTTTTTTGACAAATTTATACTTTTAAAATTAATCTGGTCAAACGAGTCACCATCTTGTGGGGACATGTTAAGGGATTAAGGGATAAAATCTCATATCGAATAAAGATAAAAAAATATAAACCAATTTATAAAAGTTTGTATTACTGCTCTTAATAAGGTTGACATTTTAAGATAAAACCTGAAATCTCAACAAAATTCTCTAGTGCGAAAAAGTTGGGTATATGAGTATAACAAATAGTAGGTTAGGGGAAATAAATGCTATGTTCACAAAAGGTTGGGGACTATTGGAATTTACCCAAAACAAAGGACTTATAAACAGGTTTATATAAGATAGACCTCCCCCCATCTGTCTTATAAACTCAAGTTCTATATTTCTCAAGTTCTTTGCGTCTTTATCTCCCAAAATCTCTCTATTTCGGTGCATTTGTTGAATCTCTTTTTTGGATCAGGCTGTTATCCATTTTTTGCTTGATTTTCTATCTTCTGTTACCACTTATACCGAAAATTATTCATCTCCTAACAAAATTCAGAACAATTCTTGTAAGTTTTGAACTGTATAATATTTACCAGAAACAGAAAATGAAGGAGAACAAGGGAAACCCATTGCACCTTTCGTCTTTAAATCACATCTCACTTGTGTGCATATCCGTTGATGAATCGACTCAGTTTTATCAGAATGTTCTTGGATTTGTTCCGGTGAGGAGGCCCGGCTCATTCAAGTTTGATGGAGCATGGTATATCAAATTGAAATAATTATAAATAAATTTCTTGATTGTAAAAGAGAAGATTTTCTGGGTTTTGATTTTTAAAGATGAAATTTGGTTTGTTGAATGTGTAGGCTGTTTGGACATGGAATTGGGATACATTTGTTGCAGTCAGAAGATCCAGAGTGTGTGCCTAAGAAGACAGTGATTAATCCCAAGGATAATCACATTTCTTTCCAGGTAATAATTCCTTCATCAAACATGTAATTTGATCTTTGTCACAATATGTCTTGTTGGATAATGTAAATAAAACATTATTGAAGTTAATAAGAAAGAAAAAAAAATTAAATTCTTTTCTAAGTACAATGTACCAAACTCAACTTAAGTTCTAAGTTTTTAGCTCTAGCTCAAACTCAAACTTCAACGACTTTTATAAACCGAAAAAAATTGAGGTCGGTCCCTAACCTTTCAATCTGTATAAATTTTTAAGTCCCTAACCTTCGAAAGTGAGATTTTGAATTTTCAATCTATTACATGAATTTGGGTCTCACGAGACAGAAATCGTTAGCATACAGCTTTAAGCTGCATGCTACTTTAACGTGTCATATTGATAGTTTCAATCTAGCAAGTATCCAATTTCACAAATTTAAACATGTTTAGGGATCCTGAAGCTCCCGTTTGAAAGTTAAATATACATAACCGTGTGCTGCTTACGAAACCCGCACTTAATATTTCATTTTACAATGGCAGTGCGAGAACATGGGGGTGGTGGAGAAGAAGCTGGGAGAAATGGGAATCGAGTACGTGCGGCAGAGGGTGGAAGAAGGAGGAGTAAACGTTGATCAATTGTTTTTTCATGATCCAGATGGCTTTATGGTGGAAATATGCAATTGTGATAATTTGCCTGTGATTCCATTGACTGGAGAAATGGTTCGGTCCTGCTCCAGAATAAATTTGCAGCAGATGCTGCAGCAGCAGCAGATTCATGTACCAGTACAACCTTAAAAAAGACTCGTATTATTTTAGGTGAAAAATGTGAAAAGATCTTTCTTCTTGCCTGTTTTGTTATTATTTTTGTTTGTTATTTTGTGGATCTGTTTGTAATAAGACATTTTGTCGTGGGTCCATTTCGGAAATTAATGTTTTTGTATTTGTTTGATAAGAACCGTCAGTGTTTCTGTGCAATAGCAATGTCATTCAGCGTAGGGTCAAAAAAAAAAAACCGTGGGAGTAAAGTTACGTGAAATTTTAAAAATTCAATTAGTCATGTTTGGTTTCAGGTTTTGAATTTTATTTTATTTTTTTTCTCAAACTCATTTTTAATCACAATTTTCATAAGATTCACAACTTTTATTAACTTTTCAACTAAACATTTCATAAAATTTTAACAACATTTACTAAAAATCTGATTTTAATCTGATTTTAAATATAACCACATATTTCATGGTGAATAGTTCTTTTGTGGGGAATAAAATCAAATATTTAGTAGATTTTGATAAAATTTGATGGAAAGCGTGGTTAAAAAGTTGTGAATTTCATGAAACATGTGGTTAGAATTAATTGTTAACTTTAATTTAAATTAAAATCTAAATTTTAATTTCTATCAAATAGAGGTAAATGTTTATTTTCCACCTTTTCGTTTCATAATCTCTACAAATCTATTCGCCACTATTTGTAATTAATTAAGGCAGGAAAAGAAATTGCAATTGCCTAGCCCCATACTTTTCTTCTCATGTTTTACCTGCAAATTTTTTTTGAATTTTGTGGTTTGTATATTCAGGATTGATATCTCGAATGACAGATTCCCCACAAGAGGGGGACCTAAGTGTAATAAAATAATCTCATGCTCCCCTTTTGTGAGGGGGTTGTCATCCGGGGTGTCAACCTTGAATGTACACATAACAAAACTCAATTTGTTTACTTGCATCCATGTCGTTCCACTACAACAAAAATAGCCTAGGCAACGTTCAAAAACGTTGCCGTAGACCTTTTGCAACGTTTGGACGTGTGTTGCAAATCAAGGTGTTGCCGTAGAGTAGGACCCCTACGACAACGTTTTTTAAACGTTGCCGTAGACCCCCTACGGCAACGTTTAAAAAACGTTGCCGTAGGGGTCCTACTCTACGGCAACACCTTGATTTGCAACACACGTCCAAACGTTGCAAAAGGTCTACGGCAACGTTTTTTGAACGTTGCCGTAGGCTATTTTTGT